AAACAAAACACACGTCATAAATTAAATGAAAGAAAGCAGTAAGGAAAAACAAATCGTAATATTTCTCTGCACTTTTCCCCACTAAATTAAATTTAAACAAATAAATCAATATCAGGTCCTTTCTGAACAACAATTCATGTCAACACACATGTATTATATATCATATTTTTTCATAGACTTAAAATCTAAGAGCAAAAAATTTTTTTTGGCTGAATATAAGACAATAAAACTTGAATGAGACAGACATTTTTTGCAGTGTAGCTTGTCTTAATACAACCAAGAGTTGTTAGTGGTAAGACTGGGGTCTCTATTATCATGTTGTGTTTTCAGTTCTCAGCGTTACATGTGCCGTTTCCCATTTCTCCTGCAGTCAGCTTCCAATGTTGATTCAGTCAGTCAGCAACCTTCACATGTTTCCAGGCTCCAACTAGGTCAGCTGTCTCCCTCCATTCCATAACCAGTTGCAGAGACAGTTCAATTCAGTTCAAAAATACTTTATTGATCCCAGGGGGAAATTAGGTGTTGTTGTAACTCATTTAACTAAAAACTTATTGTCTTATTTAAAAACTTATAATCCACCCCACCTCGCAGGTGTGGCATATCAAGATACTGAGTAGACTGCGTGATTATTGCACAGGTGTGCCTTAGGCTGGCCACAATAAAAGGCCACTCTTCAATGTGCTGATTTATCAGACAGCACACGTTTTGAAGGAGCGTGTGATCGGCATGCTGACTGCAGGGATGTCAACCACCTCCACATCCAACATGTCCTCTACCAAGATCAGCATACTGACCGAGCATGTCAGCCACTGAGCATACTGGGATGCTCTGGATCGGCGTATACAACAGCGTATTCCAGTTCCTGCCAATATCCATCAACTTCACACAGCCATTGAAGAGGAGTGGGCCAAGGCACACCTGTGTAATAATTATGCTGTCTAATCAGGCTCTACATATGCCACATGTATGAGGTGGGATTGATTATCTCTGCAAAGGAGAATTTACCCCTAACACACATTTACACAAATCTCTGAACAATATTTGAAGGAAAAAGATCTGTTTTGTACGACAGAGTATTAGGGCCACACAACGAGATTTTTTTTTTCAAATTACAAGAATAAAGTCATAATATTATGAGTTTAAAGTTGTAATATTACGAGATTAATGTCATAATATTATGAGTTTAAAGTCATAATATTCTAGCCTTTACATGAAAGATAATGCAGTTATCACTGCATTAAAATGAGGAATGTTGAGCAACTTGTCAAGTTGTTCTTTAGTATTTATAAATTAATAGTTAATCTTTTAGCACATTAGCATCAAATTATCAGTAGTAAGACTTGGAAAATGTGCAAACAACTATAAACTGAAGCTGTATTCTTATTAATGGATGCATTAAAATAGCTAATTTGGATGAAAGCATTAATCTAACAGTGACCTGAGTCACCATGGACTACTTTATAAACACAGAGACATGGCTGTACCCTGTGTATTGGCAAGAATTTGGCGATAGGATACATATCATGACAGAGGGGTCATGATATGATATATCCCGATAT